TGAGGAAATAAAGATTGACAATGGTGTTAGGCAGGGTTACCTATCACCGCTTTTTTTTTAACATATACTTGGAAGAAATGATTATGGAATTCCAGAGGAAGAGGAAGACATTAAAATTGGAGAACGGCAGATTCAGTGCCTAAGTGTCTAGTGATAGTACCACCGTTATAGCCGGACAATTGGGGCACTTGCCCAGGGCCCCGCGCTTAAAGGGATCTCGCCCTTAAAAAGTTTAGTTTTTGAGTTATGTCATCCTGCCTTTTCACGGTAATTAGGCGTAGCACTCTATAGAAAATACATTAAACCAAAATAATTATCTGTATTTATGCATATTTAGGCGTCTATAACACAGAAAATGTTAATAATTTAATTAATGGAACTGAACGTTATGTTAATATGTGTCTGGAAAACTATTTGTTGCGATAAAATTAGATAAAAATTTGAAAAATTTAAAATATTCGAAATTATTGTAATTTTGAATTTGTGCTATCAGCGGTAACCGCTGATAGCACAAATTCAAAATTACAATAATTTCGAATTTCCACTCAATAATTTCGAAGTTACACTCATTGCCATAAAAATTAGCGCACAAAGAAGGAATTGTCGTATGGCTGCAAACTTGACATGCAGATAATGCTGGCATTGCGTAAAGCCAGCAGAGAGCATTAAAGTGTGTCTCCCTGGTTTATAAAAAAAAAGCCGCGCAAAAGCATTTTGTCCATAGTTTACCTGTTGCAGAGGATCGCTGTATTACTAGAGATGCCTTTACATCTTAATCGAAGACCATATGAACAACTAACCGAGTTTGAGAGGGAAGGATTACCGAGTTTGAGAGGGGAGGATTATCGAGTTGAGAGAAGCCAGATTGTCATTTCGTCGGATAGCCCGCTCCCTAGACCGTTCTGAAAATACTGTGGAGGAGGTGTTGGGACCAGTGGATGAGAGAGAGCTCGCACACACGGCGGATGCCCTCGACACACCACTGATTTGATAGGACCGCTGGTCCCCCGACAATCACACACACAGCCTACCGTAGCGTTGTCCGCCATCATTAAAGGTTCCTGTGTCTGTCTGTACCATTTCGAGGCGTCTGGATGAGGAACATTTGGTATTGCAACAGCTATTACATGTGCTGCCATTGATAGCCACCCACTGTCGCCTCCGTTTGGAGTGGTGCCACTCCTGATGGCATTGGACTATAATGGAATGGAACCGAGTTGTCTACAGTGACAAATCCAGATTCAGTTTTAGTACTGACGACAGCCGTGTTTATCTGGAGGCTCCATGGTGAATGCCTCAATCCTGCCTACACTTTGGAACAGTACACCGTCCACACAGAGGACATCACATACGACAGCCGTCACCTCTAGTAATGGTCCAAGGATCTATGAAGCTCACGGTATGTTAGTAACATCTTGCAGCCACGTGTTGCCTCTCATGGCAGGACTCCCAACAGACATTTTCCAACAGGACAATGCTGGACCACGTACAGCAAGTGTCACAGGACTGCCTCCACCACATTGCTACACTTTCCTGGCCTGCCCGGTCCTGATTTGTTAATGATTAAATATGTCTAGGATCACCCGGGATGCCAAGTTGGACAGCGTTTGGCCAAACTAGAGGACCACTCGCAGCAACTGTGGACTGAGATGCCGCAGGACACCATACGGCACCTGTATCACGTCGTGTATTCATGCTAGAGATGGCCGAACAGGGTACTAGAACCTCCTTTCATTTGTAATTTTTCCTGCAATAAATGATCCCCTTGCTTTCAGTTTATAATCACTTACTTATATCACCATTACACTCACACTATACAATTTCGTTGGATTCCGACAAATTCTTTCTTGCCAATTTTTATGGCAATGAGTGTATATGGCACGACATTTTATCAGCAGCAAAATAGCAAACCCGAGATAATCAATAAAAATACGACATGTCTTAAAACCATAATAAATTTATATCAGTTGTAAAGCCTACTTTTTATAATGTCAAGTAGCATTGCGCGAACAGGTGGTCTTTAATTTAAGCTAGCGTTTACACAATAGCCCGTTATAAATTGAATTTGAATCGAAAAATACATATCAATGTAATTACAGCATATTTAACGTAGTAATCTAAAATAATCTTTTAAATAAGTGAAAAAATTGATACCGATTGAAGTTCACCTTCGTAATGTCACTATGAAGAGATTATTTAAAATATTTTTAATGGTTTCTTAATATCCACCTTTTTACTTTGTATTTAAGATATTTACAGTATATTATTTTTTCTTAAGTTCATAAACATTATTATTTCTTCATTATTATAAACGAGGATTTTTAAAATAATATTTTCGGCTTTTTTGTGAATTCAACAATTTATAAATTTTGTTATTCATTTTTTAACGTCGGGAATTAAAACGAAGAAACCAAATTCAAAATGAACAAAACTAGTAGAAATTATAATCGCGTTGTTTTAAAAAATATATTGAAAATTAGCGCGAGAGAAAATACCAACTGCTCAATGATAGAGCATGTATGCCTTCGCCGAGTACGATTTTAAAAAATGTACAGTACTCACATTACGTATTTAAAATAAAAAAAATACATTCTAACATTTCTGTTCACCATTATTTTTTAATTTTATATGAGTTACGGGCAACGTAACCTTTACCTCTGCACTAAGGAACATTCAATTTCGAAGAGAAACCACAAGACTGGTTCGTGGGCAATCTATCCCGGACCAACTGTATCCACCCATTCGCGCGATGCTACTTGACATTATGAAAGGTAGGCTTTACAACTGATAAAAATTTATTATGGCTTTAAGACATGCCGTATTTTTATCTCGGGTTTGGTGTTGAATAGTTCAAACTGCCTTTCTCGAAAGTATTGACATTAAGCCTAGTGGAAAATGAGGCTTATTTAATCCTACCTTCACGAATCATAAAAATGTCTTGCAGTCTGTATTTGATTACAAGGCAAAAGTCAACGGGTAACTGGATTTTATGAAACCGTACTTTTTTTTTAATACAAGACATTTAAATTTTATTTATTGGTGTTGGTCGGATGACGGTACGCCACGATTCCCTACCACCTTGGATGTCCGAACTTGAATCTGCCCACGGTTCCCATAATTTATGAGCAGTACGAATCAGCTGTCATCTCCCCATGCCGTCCAATCTCAGGAGTTAGACCTGCCGTTATTAATGGAGTGGACGAAATTGTAGTCATCTCTATAATCTATTAGCATTGCAAGCGCTGGTGGTTCGACTTGACAAATTAGTCGGGATTTAATAGAGTCTTTTATTTTCTATTTGTAATCAAATACGATTTCTTCGTCTCCATTCGCTTTTGCATTTTCGTATTCACTTACCGTTAAATGTTTAAATTTAGATATTTTGTATGGGCTACTAGCTTTTATCGGCCACGACATAAATTAGCGAGTACTGACATTTTCCATTATGCTTGAAGTTTATACCAAGTTTAAGCTAACGTTGAACATCGTAGTTTGCACAATAGCTAGTTATAAATTAAATTTGAATTTAAAAACACACATCAATGTAATTACAGTATATTTAACGTAATTTGTTTGTTACTTTAGTACTGTATACCTGTAAATGAGGATAATACAGTATGCACATCCCTCCATACTTAATTTTCAATATCTTCGCAAACATTGATTTTTATAACGCAAGCATAGAACGGAAGACTCCTTACAGCTTATTGAACAGTTGCACGTATAACACTATAACGAAGCATCTTACAAAATAATAATGCGCTACCCCGTTATTGTTTTCAGTTACTTACCGCAAAGTTCGTGTGGATAAACATGCTGCGATGACCAATAAAATTTTTAAAAATTCTTTCCAACTTGTGCGCGCGCACAAGTTGGAAAGAATTTAGCTGGTACCACAATGCGATGGCCGGGTGGGAGTAGTGGGTCGACATATCCGGATCAGACTACCCACAAAAAATTCCCGAGGTTCTTGACCTCGATTTATTACTTTCAAAATATTGGAATCCTATTTCTAGTTTCAATCCCGTAATTGTAGAATATTGATCCTATAACTAGTGTAGATGTACAGTATTCATCCAATGAAATGCAATTTTGTTTAGTATTTTTCACTCAACAATAAAATTAATATAATTCGAGCTAGTTAATAATAAGCGGGCTAATCAAACTTTACTTCAATTTCTTCAATCTGCTAAAGATGTTTATATCACGCTGTTCCCTATTAAGGGTTGTCGATCCTAACAGCAACTTGCCTACAATTTCCAAAGTTACAAATCAGAGGTATGTCATTTAAATTAATATTGTTCATGACAAGTCTTGGCTCACGCCCTCATCAAATAAATTGCTTCGGAATCTTTAGACAATGTGCTAAAATACAGATCCGATACTAGTGTTTATCAAAATTTAAGTTTCCCTTCTGGTTTCTTGTTTGCCTTACTTTCATTTTTTTAATTTTAAGTCAATGGTAACTTGTAATCAGAAAAAAAATCTAAAGTTTTAGCTAATGGATACTTTATTTCTGGTCTTCGATAAAACAATAATTTAGGCTGTCTTTACAATTCTAGGGAAATTTACAAACACGCACTACTTTGCATTACGAAGTGTACAATTTGGAAGGAATTGATTTATGAGATTATATCTATTAAACTATTAAAATTACAATTATAGAACTGACAGAGACACGATCTCTCAGAACTCTTCTCAAATGAAAATCAGAGTTGCTTGTTTTGAGATACAATTCTTAATCATTAATAAATGGCTTAGATTTATTCTCTTAAAAACCGAATTTTCTAGATTAGTATGGAATCTAACTAATGTTACCAAGTTGCAAATCTTAAACCATTACATTAATATCTGGACATTCAAAGTGCACAAATTATGACTCGATTTTCGTAAATTTTGTTACCTAGATGGAGTTTTTAAATCGTGATTAAATCAATATACAAAAATCATTTGCAAAAACACACGGACCTTATTTTACATAAAATTTCAAAACAAACACAAAATGCTAAAAACACGACTTTTATTTAAGATAATAGTATTGGCAGGTTACACCTTACTTATGAACTGGAGTCGTGCCACCACTCAGGGGACTTGAACAAGCAGCCTACCAATGCCTCATAATGTGTACAGAAACTTGACAAAGTTATACAAACCAGATAGTGTCACAATAATTACTTCAAATCAAAAATACACGCCACACTCCTTTTCCCAATCAAGCAAATTACATGACATAATGAATATATCTAAATCTTACACAGAATTGGACTGGCAGCTGCTTGAGAATGAAAGAGTAAACCAAGAATCGAACACTTTCAGTACAGTAACAGTGTAAAACTTGATTTTTTTGTTACAAATTCTCCTCCGGATTTGGCTACTTTATAGAAATCAAAATTAATGGGACCAATTATTTCCTTGATATTTTAAAAGTAAGAGCCAAAACGGTCCTGAATCAAAAATTAAAATCTTGGAAGGTTCCAACCAGTTGCCACTCAGCAGGGAGTGCAATAAATGTTTGCCGTGTTGACGAAGATGCTAATAACTACACAATGACTGGGACAAATGCTAAACTAACCCCCATACCACAAATATGTGGCAGTGGCAACGTCACCCAGTATATATACTCCATGCTGACATGTGTGCACGTGGGATTCAACCCACCATGGAAGGCCAATAAACCTACTTCTACTTCAAATGATCCGTCAAAAAAGAAACTCCATTCTATTCCAGCACAGAGCAGTCAATTACATTATTTCTTATAGATAAGGGAGACGTAAACCACCACTGTCTTGTTTTCTCTTCATACACTGTATTTTCCAGTAAACAGCCCTGGAACTTCACATCATGAGTAAAACACAAACACATACGTTGGTAAAAATTTATGCAAGCAGTTCATGGAATGTCACATTTGCTCACAAAACATGCAGTACTGACCGACTGCTACTTGTTAAAGGTAACAGACAAGCTAAGGTTGGGAAGTTTGGATGAAGAAGATTGTTGATCAAATTGGTTATAAGCTATCTGCCCACTCACACCCTTTCCCAGCAAGGTACTAGGAATTAATACACAATTTAAGAACATACAATTACAAGTGGGCTATTTATCAGAAAATTGTAGAACCAACTGTGACCCAGTCAATAAGATAGTAGCAGCAGTGGCTTTCTCCCAAGTAATAGGATATTGATGTGGAAGAACTATTCAACCCCACTGCTGGCCGTAGGAATCCTGATACCACTGGTCTTCGCCTCCTATATGTCCACCCCTGTAGCTATTGTAGCCGGAGGAGTCCAGCGGTTGCTGAGGGATCGGTTGGCTACCCCAGGAGCCACCCGTGGCAGCCCTCTTGGTTTGAAACCGACGCTTAGAGTCCCCTTGGTTCTGGTGGCCCCCATCAAATTTACGTTTACCGGCCAGATTTCCCCTTCGTCCACCCCCGCGATTGGGTGATGGAGCCGGGGCTCCCCCTCCACGACTGCCCCCGCGGGTGCCGCGCCCTCGGGAAAGAGGAGGAGGGGCCGATGCCCTGCCACGGGGAAGGAGAGGTCCACTGGAAGGACCACGGGTTGTCGTACCACGGACACCACGCCCCCCACGGCCCTGCAAAAGAAAAAAGATGACAAATGAGAAACCCATAATACAAAATCGATAAAAATTATGAACTAAATCTCAACTCTTACACCTTATTTATCATATCCGAGCTTTTAAGTATTAATTCAAGTTATATTACTAACACCTGTTTCCCTGGCTTGTTACACTGTAAGCTCGGATATGATAAAATACTTGAGATGAACGAGAATGTAAAATTTTTTCCTCCTCATCATCTCAAGTACAAAACCTACTGAGAGCTAAAGTGCCAAAATACAACCCACCCTCTCTGGTGTTCCACGGGTAGGGGCCCTTGGTGCTGGCGCATAGTCATAGTCATAGTAGTCATCATAGTGACCATAATAATCCTCATAGTAGGGATCTGCATAACCTCCCTGATAGTCTCCATAGCCATAGTAGTCATAGTCGTAGTCATAATCTGCCAGGGGATAACAGTATTCTCAATCAGGACTTATTGGGTAACAATTAACAATCATATCTAATATGATTAGTGCAAATTACTATCTGATCCTTCTGAATCAGTAAAATTCATTACACAATAGTTGTGTGTATACAAGCCAAAATTTACATGCTGGGAAGAAATCTAACAATGGAACAGAACTCACCATAGCTTCTCATTAAAGGTGGTGGCATTCTACTTCCTCGACCTCGTGGAGAAGGTGGCGGCATACCCATCATGCTGTTAAGAAAATTTTTTATTAAAATCTAATTGCTAGTATACTATTTGCAATATTAAAATTAAAAATTATCAAATAAAGTCGTGTCAAAATATAAATTTAGCAATGTCTCTCTCATATATTAATATTTCAGCAATATATACACATTCAGTATATATGAGTTGATTGATTAAATACATTAAAATTGTCACTCTTCAATTATTCTCATATAAAATATTTGAAAACTATTAAAAGTAAAAAAAGATTTGAAATATCAGTCAAGATTGTTTTCATTTACAGTATAATATTGAATACTAATTCATACAGCAATATTTTTGCACATTTCTATATGTGACATCATTTGTTATCTAATTTTTTTCTTATTTGCAATTCAAGATACATTGCAAGAACTAAAGAATTTTTATATTATCTAAAACATTCTTAATCACAAAACAGTTTGGTCAGTTAATTTAATAGCATATCTTGTTTATATTTATTGTAAAATATATTGCAAATTGTATTATAAGCAGAATCCAGAAAAATGTAGCAAATTTTATTGCTTTAAACTTTTATATTATATTTATAAACTTGTTAGACTTTTTTAACCTTTCAATGTCAAGTAATTCAATTATCAATATCCTGACGATTTCTGGTTACTGTCTCTTATTCAGCAACAAAACATTTTGTTTTTTTTTTCTTTTTAGCACAAATGTGTTTAGCTTTCAACAAACAAAACATAATTAATAGCTTCTGTTTCAACTGGATTTCATTTTAACACAAGTGTATTATTATTGATTAAACAACACAAGCAGAATTTCAATTATTGTTGATCAAATAGTATGCAACTACATGATAAACACTACTATTTAACAACAAACTGTCTAGTTGCAATATTCTAGTTATTTACATCTACCTGAAATTTAAAAATTTTTATATAAAAACACATCATCATTACAGGAAAAATTTCAAATAAATAATTTAACAATCAATTACAGTTTAATCTTACCTTCTAAATCGTTTAAAAATAAAATCATTTTAATTATCTTAAATATCTTAAGCCTGCAACTTAGTCAAGTCTTTCTTTATTTCACTGTAATAGAAAAACAGGCAAAAATTTGACTGCTCTTCCCATGTTGCATATAATATTCTTACATAAAGAATCAGGGATTTCAGACAAATATCACTTGATTATATTTAGCTTACATTCTTCCAACATTGATAAATAAAAATTTACAATTTTTAAAGAATTCATTGCAACTGATAAAATTTTTGTTTTAAAAATGATCTGAACTACTTATAATTTGCATTTGTAGCATTTGATTCATAAATATGAAAGCAGATTTAAAGAACAATTTTTTGTCACAATGTTCTCAATTTTAGTAGTGTCTTGCCCCTTACGCCATAATTTTCCTGTCAGCAATTGTGCAGGTTATCTAACTCTGTTCTGGGAAAATTTTTTGAATTGAAATAACATGACCTATGGCACAAACTAAAAGTGCACATATAATTAATATGGAACTACCGTCCCTAAGCTGTCTATGATATCAACTTTCATTTATCTAGCTCTGTTCTTGAGATTAAGAAAGAACAGTGGACAACAATGAAAATTTATAGGTCTAGAAGTTTTTCAAATTGCAGTCCAATAACTTCGATATGAAATAGTCTTCATTTAATAAAATTTGTTTTTATAACAATTATATTAATTTTCAGAACAATCCAGTATCAGAAACAGAATTTAGTCAAATGTTGCATTCCTTATACAGTAGAACCTCCATTATCCGGACCTCCATTATCCGGATTTTCGATTATCCGGATTGTTCAAAATAAACAAAAATTTTACGAATTTCCTGATTTGCACTTGGCGAATTACAACACTGTTTATGTACTTGATGAAATGCATAACTTTTTTGTTTCAACAACGTCTCACCCAGTACAGTGGTCGTAAACTCTTAAATATATTTTACGTAGTAATAAAAATATAACTTGACATACGTATTTATAAATAATTTATATTCAAATTACATCATTTCTATGACCAAGGGCGGCGTAAGGCATGGACGACGTGGGCCACCGCCTATGCCTCGCGGTCCGAAGGGCCTCGCGCCTCGAAGGTTTATGCATTACTTAAAAGCCGCGAACGCGACGAAAAAATTTTACTCGTCATAAAACGATAAATAGTTTGTCAAATTTTTATTCATAAAAATGCAGTTTCAACTGCTTTTTATTTTATAAAATCCGTCTTCTTGCGCCACCAGAGGGCCTTTTAAACAATAGGTAGTCTGTTAGCGTTGGTCAGTAGTAGTCCAAATTCAATACGAACGTTTGTTTCTTGAAAATTTGATCACGATTTAAATACAGTATTTACTTTTAATATTACCGATATGTCATCGAAAAGAAAACGTGTTGTATTATCATTAAAAGACAAATTAAAGTATCTGTTTCGATTATCCGGATTTTTCCTTATCCGGACTACCTTCATCCCCAATTAGTCCGGATAATCGAGGTTCTACTGTACTTAATAATCTTTTAATTTGAAAATAATTCAACATTTACAAAAATTTTAAGTAAATCATCATTAATAATCTAAAAAATTAATTAATTTGAATCGGAATGGTTGTATACATTGTAATTTATACAGGTAACATTTCCTTCTGTAAATGTATAAAACTGATCTTTAGTAAAAAATCCAAGATTTATTTAAATCATCATCCAATAAAATCATATTCCCTGTATAAGACACTGATGTTAATTAAACATTATATAAATATTTTTTTTTAAGACAAGAAAATTTACTCATTAAGCGAAATAATTTTTAATTTGCATTACACTTTGCAAAAAATTGTGGTAATACTGTATGAATAATTATATTATTCTTTTTGCACAAAACTAAATAATTGACTCAATTATTGGTATAATTGGTATTATATTGGTATGATAATAAAATTATTTCTGCTGAATATAGTTGCATATTTATAGAATGCAATTATTATACAAAGTGTATTTTTCCTTCATTTCAGGATATTCAGTTTAAAAGAATATTAACAATAAGAAGCAATTTTGTTTAGAAAATGTTCTTAATTAATTATGATGATGAAATTGCTAATTATTTTATCACCAAACAATTCACTGTCTTAAAATACCCCAATGGCTATTTTAAGGTTAATAAATAATTAAATAAATACAAATCAATTTGATTACAGGAAGGCTGTTATGCTTACCTCTAGCCAATTGTATAATCTAGTAATATTCAACTATATACTTTAACTTAATATAGTTGAATAAAATATTAATGTAATTTCTTAAATAATCAAAATTTTTATAATGTAATCTGTAAAAAAGCAAGTTTGTTAGTTCTTTATACATTTTGACACAATTAAGCAAATTCAACGAAACTTTTTGGGGACCATCCATTTATTCAGGAGGTCAATGACTACTTTTGAACAAATTAATTTCAATCCCCTCACAACAGGGTCCTTTTGTAGCTGACTCTAGGATAATGGCATTCAAATGGAGAAAAAAAAAATCACTTAATACAAAGTTACCAATGGTAAGCTAAAACAACAAAACTCTTAATTTGGGTTTCATTTTAATGTTGGTTTTGCCCAAGCAGCATTCGGCGTGTATGCTTGTACATGATAATCATAAAATTTATTATGACAGAGCAGTAAGACATTTATGCAGTAAAAATTATTTATTCATTGAAAACTTTAAAGTTTAGTTTGGTTTTGTAAAACTAAATAGGAAATGAATCATTCTGTGTATTAATTTCACAAAACAAAAAATAATGTTTAATTCATCCAATAGGTAACTCGAATAAAAATTTATTTTATAAAAATTAAATTTCAATGTGTTAAAAACAAGCTAGAGAATAATGAAATACAGTAACCCTCATTAAGTCAATGTTCTTAAACATTACATCCTTACATCCCAAACAGAACACTGGTAACATACTTTATCAGTAAAAAAAAATGTCAACACAAGGTTGTAATGGTGTGATATTGTTTGACATTTAGTGTTTGTATTCACACAGAATATAAGAGAAAATGAAGATCATAGACCTATCATAGAGTAGAAGGTACACAGGATAATAAGTTCAAGTTAAAAGTATTGGTAATTTTGATTCAACAGGAGCATATTATATGGAAATCCTATATATTGTCCTCAAGACTGGTTGGCAGCTTTCACAGTTCAACTTAGTAAGATTTTATTTATAATATAAAATTATAAATTACTACAGAATTTAAATGTTCAAAATTATGTTCTTAACCACTTTAAAACAAAACATGCTGAAAGTAAAAAATTACTTTTCATTATCCTTGCCACACAGATCACTACAATATGTAAGGAACCAAGTCGTGCTTTATTTTTAGTTTACTTTATTATATTTTTGTTTGGGGCTTATGTTTGGTTAGGACGAAGGTTTCCTCACCCACCACCCTAACGTTCAAAACGAGAAGATAAAAGATTAACCAACTCACCGACGACGAAACGATAGCGCCATAGCTAGCATTGCACTCACGTGCACGCCCGAGCGGCAGAATTGTAAGTCCGCACTGAAGGGGGGGACACCCCAATAGACTTTCTAGGAACTTGTGTAACCTTAACAAAACATCCCGATAATTGTTAAAGAAATGCTGTAAAAGGTTAACAAAGTATTGTCGAGAAATAAGCTACCAGATAACGAAGAGAAAACAATGTTACGTGTAGATATGTAAATGAGGGGAGTGGCTACAGTAGAACTGTGACGTCACCTCATACTATAAGTACAGTAGCTCAAGTGAAGACAGAAGAGGTGAGCTCCTGAACCGAAAGCGTTGGTCTGCTGGTAGCAGTGAATAGGTGTCGAATAGGAAATCCTAGTAGGAGATTGAAGGTTCGATTTTGGTGATTTGGAAATAGGAAAGTCTTGAGTAGAAGAAAAGGTTCCGAGTATTAATTGAGGTGACGGTTAGGATTGATAGTTATAAGAGAATTTGTATCTAAGTTAAGAATTGGATTTTGTTTTGTCGGAATTCCAAGGGGAATAGTTCTAAGTTAGAATAAGACTTAAGTTTGTCGGGTTGATTTGTGATTTGATTTTTGATTAATAAATTTGTTGTTTGTTTATAAATCTTGTACATAGTATTGGTTAAACTTGATTAAACATTTATTATTGAGATTTTTTTGTGACTAACTTTGTCCTTAATTTATTTCGGTGCACGCTAAAAGTCCAGGCCTGGCAACTAACAAACGCGAACCCGCGTAAAGTACCCGTTAGGTCCCAGCTCTAAGAAAAATATCGTTGTAGAGCAACAAATTAAAAATAGTACTTTACAACTGGCGCCCGAACAGGGACCGTTAGGTTAAGAGTAGGATTGGTTGTTTTTTCTTTAGTAGACTTAGATTGGATTTAGAGGAGTAACACCTCTGAAGTAAAAAGGAGAGAAATGGAGGAAAGTGCACCTGTGACCCGACAAGAATTTACTCAGTTACAACAGCAGTTGTCCGTGCTGCTACAACAAGTTTCCTCTTTAACCAATGTAGTGACTCAACTAACGTCAACTGTCACTTTGGGAACTGTAGAGCCTACAGCACCAGTAACTGTCGGTGTTGTAGGCTCTACAGTTCCCAAAGTGACAGTTGACGTTAGTTGAGTCACTACATTGGTTAAAGAGGAAACTTGTTGTAGCAGCACGGACAACTGCTGTTGTAACTGAGTAAATTCTTGTCGGGTCACAGGTGCACTTTCCTCCATTTCTCTCCTTTTTACTTCAGAGGTGTTACTCCTCTAAATCCAATCTAAGTCTACTAAAGAAAAAACAACCAATCCTACTCTTAACCTAACGGTCCCTGTTCGGGCGAAAGTTGTAAAGTACTATTTTTAATTTGTTGCTCTACAACGATATTTTTCTTAGAGCCGGGACCTAACGGGTACTTTACGCGGGTTCGCGTTTGTTAGTTGCCAGGCCTGGACTTTTAGCGTGCACCGAAATAAATTAAGGACAAAGTTAGTCACAAAAAAATCTCAATAATAAATGTTTAATCAAGTTTAACCAATACTATGTACAAGATTTATAAACAAACAACAAATTTATTAATCAAAAATCAAATCACAAATCAACCCGACAAACTTAAGTCTTATTCTAACTTAGAACTATTCCCCTTGGAATTCCGACAAAACAAAATCCAATTCTTAACTTAGATACAAATTCTCTTATAACTATCAATCCTAACCGTCACCTCAATTAATACTCGGAACCTTTTCTTCTACTCAAGACTTTCCTATTTCCAAATCACCAAAATCGAACCTTCAATCTCCTACTAGGATTTCCTATTCGACACCTATTCACTGCTACCAGCAGACCAACGCTTTCGGTTCAGGAGCTCACCTCTTCTGTCTTCACTTGAGCTACTGTACTTATAGTATGAGGTGACGTCACAGTTCTACTGTAGCCACTCCCCTCATTTACATATCTACACGTAACATTGTTTTCTCTTCGTTATCTGGTAGCTTATTTCTCGACAATACTTTGTTAACCTTTTACAGCATTTCTTTAACAATTATCGGGATGTTTTGTTAAGGTTACACAAGTTCCTAGAAAGTCTATTGGGGTGTCCCCCCTTCAGTGCGGACTTACAATTCTGCCGCTCGGGCGTGCACGTGAGTGCAATGCTAGCTATGGTGCTATCGTTTCGTCGTCGGTGAGTTGGTTAATCTTTTATCTTCTCGTTTTGAACGTTAGGGTGGTGGGTGAGGAAACCTTCGTCCTAACCAAACATAAGCCCCAAACAAAAATATAATAAAGCAAAGTAAAAGTAAACTAAAAATAAAGCACGGACTTGGTTCCTTACAAATATAGATGCTACACTGGAGGGGAAAACAAAGAAAGTTATTAATTAACAAATACTTAATAAATAAGAAAGCTATGCTGTGGTCATTTTCCACCAGTCTTCAAGACAGCAAATGTTCATAGTTACCATAGGACAGCGATTCCTCTAATAATGATACTTTAATCAATTGTACGAGCACTAAGGTGGCTTTTCTTTGTACCACATTGTGTACAACTCTATTGTAAGTTAAAACAATTTTCTTAGGTTTTTTCTATTTTACGGTGCACTTTCTTCACTCCATCATTCTACTGTTCTCTTTGTAATCAAGGTCACACGTTTCCCAAATTTTATAGTCTTGGTCTTGCTTCTGCATTGCACCATGTATACTGGAGTGTTTTTCCAACACTATGTATCATACCATTATGTTTGCAGTAAGTCCAAACTTTTTACATATATGTAATGTATTTTGTTTTCCCTTGTAAATCATTTTCCAATTTACCATTGTTTTTTAGCTTACACCTGTTAATCATAACCATCCATATTTTATCTAATGTCACAACTCCTATATTTCTCATAATCCATGTAAGTTTCTTGTTTTTTTACAAATTTGTAACATCATGATGTTTTTGTATAAACTTGTATGTAAAATTTTTCCCTATATAGTTGTAACACACAGAGTTAAAAAGGGACATAATTGCCAGAAATGCATTCTCAAAGGAATAAAAAGTTTTTCTAAAGTTTGTCCTCCTTTTACTGATGGTATAAGTCTAGCAAAAAAGAAAAGCCACCTTAGCGCTTGTATATTTCAACACAAGACTAGACAAGAAAAATTATCACACAATGATACTTTTACAATAACTCAAAGAGAAAAGGAAGAGTTCATGAATTGAATAAAAAGAGATTTCAATATGGTAAATTTCATCATCTGATGCATTATCTCCATAAACATGAAGCTAAATTCAAAGAATATTAACATGTCCCAGCTTGATGGTATTCCTCAGTAGACATGTTCTATCGACACAAAACACAATAAGGCTTTTGATTCCGATAAAACCATGTTTTAATTTAATTTGCTTTATTCAAGCACAATAACATGACTCCTCTTAAACACTTGGCAGATTATTCATCTCTTTAGTTGGAATAAAGAGATGAATAATCTGCCAAGTGTTTAAGAGGAGTCACGTTATTGTGTCTGAATAAAGCAAAACAATAAGGCTTGTTTTGTGCACACCTGTACAAACAAGCAACTGGCTAAGCAAAGAACAAAAGAAGCATAGTGTCCACAATCTTGACTCATAGCAAGTGTAGCTTATATAGATTTGTGTGGCCGAGGCTTAAAAAAGACCATATACGATGCCATTTGTATATATATCTATGTAGTGTTTATTGTTAATTTTATAAATTCAATCTTTAAACTAAAAAAATGAATAATCTAAAGTTTTCTCTGAATTATATTTCACAAATTCAATAAACTAGAATAAGATTTTATTTATTTTAAAGTAATATTTTAAAAATTGTTCATACTTACGCTGCTCTCTGTTGCATTGTTTGCATCATTCTTCTTTCCCGATTTCTAAGAATTTCCTCTTTCTTCTTTTTATCAGATGGTGGTTTAGCTAAAGATACTTCAATTATAGAACCTCCAATTTCTTTACCATTTAAATCATCCATAGCTTTAACAGCATGGTCTCTCTCCTCAAAGTGAACAAATGCATAGTCTTTAATTTTTTTAACTCTTTCAACTTTGCCAAAAGCTTCAAACATTTCTTTCAATTTAGCTTCTGTAATATCACCTGTTAAGTTCCGAGCATATAGAACCTTCACCTATTGAATTTTTTAAATAAAACTGTTAAAATTTTACATTAATATAAACATTTAATTATCTGTATAATCAGATTATTTACACAATGCAATTGACATATTTTATAGCTACAGAAAAAATTAATTATAGGAAGGAAAGCTTAATTTTATTTTACAACCTCAACATTTCAATTTTTTGTATCAACAAATGAAAATTTTGTCTTTAAGATTAACTAATTACCAAGTGGAAAATTTTCAAAATCTCATTCTTACAACTGATTACAAAAATAAGATCTAAGCCACAGCTGTGACTTAAATCTTGGATTTCTTAAAATTGTACTTCAAAAACAAATTTTTCATTAGAAACATATGGATAAAAAATAATAATAAAAACCACAGATTAGACCAGGCATGACCAACATACAACCCATGGGCCAGATCTGGTCCATCTAACGAATTTATGTGGCCCGCGATCAATCTTTCAACATTAGCTACTGAAATCCAAATAGCTCAATGAAAAATTCTGACGCCTAAAAAACAAGAGTCAACAACTCACTGTGCGTTTAGAGTTAACCCTCCATTACAAATCTCGTAAGTACAGCATAGAATGTTAATAAAGCACGATAATGTGAAAAATGTATCTGTGATCTCTATGTACAATTTAGTCTCTACGGGGTGACACCGCAATGAGATCTCGCACCACCTCAAAATCTTCCTAGGGCAGCCTCTGGAAAAAGTTTTCTTTCCAATTCAGCCCGGGGGCAAAAACTGTTGGCCATCCCTGGATTAGACTGTACTAAAGGCAAGTTTAAACTGTGGTGCAAATACTTGAATGTATGATTTAGACAACAGAGTCTTTCTCAATTTTTCATTCAATTTAATTTAAAAATGGATGTTCTTCACATTTTGAAATTTTGTGACAGATTACTATTGCTTTGTTTTTGTTGATTTAATGTGACAAGAGTTCAAAATATATCTAATTTTCAGCATATGTGGATTTGTGTATATTTTATGTAATTTACTATATGAATTCTGACATTTTCAATCTTCAATTGTCTGCACTTACTAGTTTTTTTTTCATAGACATTTTTCATCAAATTAATTGACTTAATTTTACTTGAAATTAAATTCATGATATCCTCATGCTACATGCTATCCAATTAAATGTATAAAAATTTCAGTCAAAAAATTTTTCCTGTCTATCACAGGCCTTTAAACTGCTGGGAAATTTGCTGCCTTCTGGATGTAATAGCATGCAATTTTTAACAGACACAAGTCATATGTACACACTGATTTTCCACTTTAACATCATGGATATTTGTTAGCTATGCATAACTTAATGAACTTCAAGTTGCTACCTTGAACGTTTGTTTCCTTAATTAAGATGACCTTCGACAATTTAAATATTGATGTGGTTTATAGTGATTTATTTCATGTGAAAAAAAATCACTTTCTGATCTTCTGAGAAACACCTCAGCCCTTCTGTCATTTATTTCCAGCTTGTTTCACAGCCCATACTATTTTAAAATTCCAAGGATATCCTAAAGAAGCCCAGCCAAAGACATTGCTTTGTAAACAAAACAACATATGATGTTGAAATTTGGCACATGTAGAGAAGACATGCGACAGGATTTTCCATAATCATCAAATTTGAGGAATGTCAATTACCTGCACATATAAAAACTTCTCTTTATATGGGAGTCCCTTCTCACCGCAACCTCAGAAGCACGCAACGCTCCAAAGTCACTCTCGACCTGCCCAATGCATAAGTCATGCTGTAGAAGTAGTTAAATAAAGAGTCTCAACTACAGTCACATTACTAATGTGGGCAGCATCCTCACAAGTGCCGCTTTGCAGCATACATATAACATCACATGCACAACTTCAAACACATTCAAAAATTAGTGACTTGTTCTTAATGGTTTTATCAAAAGTTTTAATTTGAATAATGTGCATTCTGTTCTTCTTCCTCAGAATATTTCTGTTTGATCTTTTTAAAAATCTTTATTCACATGACAACGACAGATATAAATTTGTCAAAAGTACTTGCAATAAAAAGCACTAAATGCTGAACTCAGTGAACTCTCCACCCTATTATAATTATTATTAATTTCAATAAGTGATGGTATCTAACATCTACCTCTAGTACCAAATTACCTTATTTCTAATTATTAACTATAGCAAAAATATAGCCAAATTAATTATGACAATCATTTGGTTTGGCAATTACATACAGTGTAATTATGCATGTTGTAATAGTTAATAAAAAGATGTAAAAAATAAATACAGTGGGTGATCAGTTAATAAACACTTTTGAGAAAGATTTTTATGTTCAGACAACAAACACTTCACAGAACAAACATAAGAAGCAACATAAAATAATGAATACCGATTGATCTTCCCTTGTCTTCAGGCAACAATTCAAAACTTTTCAGAGCACAAGAGACGTTGACATTGACACTCAACCCAGTATATACTAATCAGATAGTATTCCTCCAAACTTTGAGACTCTCCCTTGTAATTCCAGCCTTTTATTTTTCTGACAGAAACAATATGTCAGAAAAATAAGGCTGTTTGTGGGCAATCATTAACTTTTGCATTGGTTTTTATTTTCGAAAGGTGAGAGTGGGCAGATGATGTCTGACATTGCTGGGCAGTATGGCTTGAACAGGTCTACTATAGTCCACAGTTCAATCTTATCTAAGAAAGATACTGTATAATCAAGAAGACTCAAGCAGCTAAAGGAGTAACAAAAATCACATCTGAGAAATAAAGAACATTGAAGAGCTCATAATAGAAACTGAAACAGATCCGATGACAGAAGAACACCAAGAAACTTGGCGACATATGCTTTACAGGATTAATGCCTATATCTGCTATTAAAGATCTTTTGAAGAAGTGGGAAGATGTCAGATCCTCCCACTTTTTCAAGAGATCTTTAATAGCAGATATAGGCATTGGTCTTAAACAATGGTCTTAAGAATTGGCTCCAAACCAGGTTGAGATTAATAGGCTTAGGGATCTCTACAATTACAATGCTATTAATTGCTTCTAAAAATTCCTGAAGAGAGAAAAGCAATAGACACCAGACAGATTCTTTAATCCCCACCACAAATGGAAAATACAGGACTAATAAAAATGCAAGACTATGTATATATGTATTTTTATTATTGCATATAAATAAACATGAGAAAGTATATATTTTTTTATTTTTTGGGATCTTTAGAACGAATTAATCAAATTCCCATAAAACCTATGGTAAATCAATAATCAATTAACGAACAATTCGGATAGCAAAACAGTCTTGGAATGGATTATGTTCGTTAACCAATCACCCACTTTACATGTTAATTATATATAACATGTATTAAAAAGTTGTATATATGAAGCCTTTGGGGATGCTAATGCTAACCTTCAAAATTATGTTTCTGAGGTTATTGAGTTTAAAGGCTTGAAAAAAATCCTAAAATGAAAAATCCCAAAATGATGAGATGACAGCCATATCTACAGAAAGCAAAAAATATTAACACACACTTATTCATACAATTTTAGGACTTTACAAAGCATTCAAACTCAAATTACCTCAGAAACATGATTCTGAGGATTAGCAAGGGCCAAGGTTTCATATATATTAGTCTGTGTGTATATTCAATATTCAACATATATATATATGTTGAATATTGACTAATTTTCAAACAACAAACAACTAAGATTACCATTTATCATTGTTGTAATGATATTGGCCAATCAATATGAACTTCCCACAATTTTTTGAACAAAATGGAGGAACTGCTAATTTTGCATGTTGAAGAATGAGGCCCTGTGAAGCTTAATAGAGGTTGAAAATACAGTGGTACCTCGGTATACGGCTGCTTTAGAATACATCCTGTTTGGGTGAAACAAATTTTGCTTGGTATACGACTTAATTCAATTACATGCGCCATCTACAAACAAGTAGCACTATCAGTGTACTAGACCTGACTAGACATTTGCGGTGCCACAGTTTATAACTTTGTTAAATTTCTTTTTATTTTAATTTGTAAGTAAAATGTTATTATTTTTATTAATCATAAATTGCAAAAAAGGCAACAGAAAAATAATAAAAAAAATGACTAAAATCACAATGGAACTGAAAAAAGAGATTGTTGAGAAATATAAAGGTGGCATGCGTGTTCAAGATTTAACTGTTGCATACCGTATTCCAAGAACAACAATACCGACAATCGTGAATAATTAAGACATTATTAAATTTGCTAACGTTACGAAAGGGGTTAAATCAATTTCTAAACAGATATTGAAGACATTAGATCATGTTGAGAAATTGCTTTTGCTTTGGATAACTGAAAAACAGTGTTCTGGCAAGTATATCAGAAGCAATTATTTGCGAGAAAGCTAAAAAGACACATGCTGATCTCATGAAAAATCAAGCAGGAACTAGCAGGAAAGCAAAGTGTTTAAAGCCAGCCATTTTTTTTTACATGAGAACGAATTAATCATTTTTACATCACTTCTTATGGGAAAGGTTGGTTTGGTATACGTTCTATTCAGTATAAGTCCAAACACCAAGAACGGATTAAGGCCGTATACTGAGGTTCCACTGTATTTGAAAACATACAACTAATTAAAAAACTCCTTCAATGTCTTTTAATTGTAATTCCTAGACAAAAGTATGAAAATCTTGTTCTTCTCTCAATATTAATAGCTATGATTCACCAGTGACATAAAATTCTAAAAGAATATTAATATACAGAATATTGCTAAGTGTAATGATGTAAGTTGTGCTTGGTCTAACACAAAACTAATGACAAGAACTAATTCTTTGGTGATGGATGACTATGACAAAAGACATGCTGTTGTTATCATTTAGGATCTGTGGTCATTGTCGGCAGTATGAATGTAGTCTTACTTGTGTTTTAACACACAAGTAAGGCTACATTCATACAGAAAAGGAAAATTCTTCATGAATCTTCTGTCATGCATGTTTTCCTATTGTCAAATTTTTATTATCCTCTTTCCTCTATTGTTAAGTGAGCTTCAATTAAGTCTATTAAAACTCCCTTCTCTTCTTACAAAATTTTCTGCCAACTTCACTACTCATATTCATATCCATCATTTTCTCTTATGTCATCACAAAAATGTTGATTGGTTAAAAACTTCAAAACAGCAGAAAAGAGCAACTTTAAACATAACAGCTATGGTTGCTACTTGTTTGTGAAAAGTGATTTAAGCCTCATGTTAATAAGACTGCGATTTTAATTTTTGGCCTTAGGTTAGTCAATCCTTGTTCTGTAAAACTGGCTCTTAATGTTTGCTTTAAATGAATGAATACATACATACAACTTTATACATAGCAATACTTTTCAATAAATTTCAGAAAGATTTTATAGACAGTATAAGTAAATTCAAAACAGATCATAAAGTTAGCAAAGACACCACATTAAAAATGATGAAACAAAGGTTTTGCTTTCCCTTACATGTAGAATTTCATTTTAATGTGTTTAAGTATTTCTCAATTTTACTGTATTTAATTTTCAGAAATTTTCATACATATAGTTAATAAGTTCACTGTTAATAAAGATTGCAGAATGAAAACAAATTACCAATTTTCTTCTCTTATAGCACATTACACCTCATATATCTGACATACTATTTTTATATAATGAAAAATAAAGTAACAAATTGAAATAAATCACCTACTCATGCCTGTATGTAATTCAAATTTTAATTAACTAAAAACAAATTTATTTTCTTGACGCTTTTGTCTTAAATTAATTTCATTATACTATTTTTAAAATAAAAAATAAAATCAATTGGAAGACAAACAATATAATAAACATTTCCTTTCTTGTTGAGATACCAGCTATATTCCAATTAGAATATATTCTTGGGAACTCCATGATCCTGCATTTGCAGGTGTTTAGGAGCACTGCTAGTTATTCAATGATCCAAAACTATGATTTAATTATGTTTATTTTGGTTGATTGCATATATAACAAGATGCATTTCAGACCCCTCATCAGTAACTAAAATTATTAAGAGCTAAGTACAAAATTAATTAAGCATAAAAACGATAATAAAAAGAGAACATAATAGTAATATCTTACTTTGTATTGAATCAACAGCCTTCTTAAAATTCATGTACTTTTGTTTTTAAGATAGTATTGAGAACCTTTTCAAATAACCAAAAAACCCCATATATACACACTTTACAAACTTGATGAATTCTTATGAAACAAAAACCACTGACATAAACACCTATATTTATGACAGCAAATACATTAATACATTGACTGCACACTATGAGCTATCTGAAAATCAGCAATCAACCACTAGCACCATCAATGCGATAACTCATAATGTTGCCTGACTGGTTTTGCCTCGTACAACTTTCCTCATAGTAAGTACATGTTATAACTAATTAGCAGGCATCGGAGATAAGCTCAACACATTGTTCAAGTGTTATAGAACAAACTCTAAAGTAGTTTAAAATTTAATACAATTTTTCTGCTTACAGATTGTTAGATATGAATATGATCATAGTAAATATACTAGAAAGAGGATAATATGTATCTTTATTGTAAATTATAAAATAATTGTGTGTTATAAGAAGAAAATTTTTGAAAAATAGTGAAAAATAAAATATAATATTTATATTATATACATCATATCATATTACTCAAATTATAAAAAGATCACACTGATGTTAAAAATTCTAGAATTGTTTTTTAACACTACAAACTTCTAATGGTTAGGGATATTGTTATGTTGAAAGTAGTAAAGAATTGTTTATCATTAACAACAAAAACCAATATTTGGTATTTCATCAGTTGTTCATATTTTAGAATGTCAATATCACACAAATTTTATCAGTTTTGGTTTGTTACATTGGTTACTGACATGCCAACAATTACTAATATCCAATGTAATTCTTAGTAGTAACAGAGATTTTTGATGCCAGTACCTTTTCAAAAAAATGTATGTAATCTCTCTGTCAGAAGTTTAATTGTTTGCATTGTAAATTTATAGCTGACACTGTGTATTAGCCTCATAACTAAATTTCAAAACCAATCTTCAAATAATATAAGATTTGAAGATGGATTTTGCAAAAAGCATTGAGTATATAAACTCAATGCTTTTTGATACTTCATATTCCTTGATGTTTGATAATTTTCAGTATTTATCTATTTATAGAATTAACCTTTGTATCAAGCCTAATCAAAAAAGATCAAAATTTTAGTTCAGCACAGCCCTATTCATCATATTATAGCAATTTAGATCTTACATCCACACAAGATTTGCAAGATAATAAAACATTTTGTTTCCAAGTACAGATCTGCACATTTAATTTTATTTAAATATTATTCCTATTTAAATATTATTCCAATATTTTCTAATACTTTAATTGACTAATTCCAACTTTAGTTTGAAAACTTAATTAATATTTAACCATTTCATGAAAGTATAGAAAGCATTTCAATTATTTTACTTCACCTTTGACATTGTTTCAGAGTCAGGTTCTTCTTGTGGATCTGCCCAATCAACAATAATATCACACCCCCACACTTTAATCCTTCCCGTACCTAAACGACGTTTAGCTAGTGAAGCAGCTTTATGAGATTCATATTCTAAGAAACAAAATCCTCTATTCTTTTTTCTGTCATCAGGTGAACTGTAGATAATTACTTCAGTCAAACCAGCTGCAAAAAAACAAAAGAGCACTAAAAAAAACTAGCAACACACATTTTAAAAATTTTAGAAAATATTTAAACTATGAAAATTTTAAGTTAATTTAAAGCAATTCATGCAAACAATTAAGATAGAAACAAAAAATTAATTCTGTCATTTGCTATTAATTAGAAACTTTTTGTCTCTCCAAAGATACATACTCTAAGGTAAAACAACCTCTGTTTGCCTTTGATGAGACCAAGTGTAAAAAACCTGGGACAGCAGGCTAGTTCTCACAATACCTGCATGTAGTCACTTGGAAAGCGAAGTGTGATGTTTTTGCGTACCTGTTAATTTACCAAATTCTTCAAAGATCTCCTCTTTGCTCTTGCTCTTTGGGATGTTACCAACAAAAAGCCGAAGGTTTGGTACTGATACATTGACTTTCAGTGTCTTGCCCTTTTTGATTTCATAATTATCCAGCTGAAAGTAAAAAAGACCAGACAAGCTTGCCAAATGATAATTTAGCCACAATGCCAAAACAATTCCCATTCACAAATAATTTAGATTCAAATTAAAAGCCAAAATAAAAATTTAGATAAAAATTTTCAAAATTTTTAGCCTAGATGAAAAATTTCACCCTCCATATGAAAATTTTAAATCTAAGTTTTCTGAAATTAAATTGAAATTTAGTCTAATTCAAATTTTATTCTATTAACCCAGCCCACAAAAATTCAAAATTCTTCTCTCCTGAAATGTAAATATTAAAAATAATTTGAAAAATAACAAATTTTAACTTTAAAAAATTAATTATTCTGTAGAATATTAACACAAATAATGTTTTTCATTTTGATTAATAAAATCAATTTATTTCTAAAAACATTCTCCTGATGAATTTCTGGAGCAAAAGAGGAGACCATCACAGTAAGCACTTTGGATTTCTCTCCTCCACAGGTCTTTCACATCCAATAAAAAGCTGAATTTTCATATGAAATTTTTCAATGTACTTACTTAAACTCTGATCTTATATATCAGGCCGTTACTCACTTGTCTAGTTGCTGCTTGTGCTCCTTGTCTTTCACAATATGTAATAAAAGCATAACCACGATTCTGTCCAGTAAGTGGATCCATCATAAGTCTTAAATCCCAGATCTTTCCACATTTTTCAAATAATGGAATTAACTCATCTTCAAACATATCTTTTGGTATTTTCCCCACAAATATCTAAATTATATGCAATATTTTGAATTCCACATTTAAATAATCACTCATTATTATTAAATATGAATTAATTATTTTAGTAAGAATCTGAATTACCTCACAACCACTAGAAGGAGGAGAACCTTCCCAATCGGGCGGAGGGCCACCATATTTCCTCTGACCTGTAGTCACATCTAAAGTATAACCTGTTCTTTCTAAAATTGCCTAAATTGCAAAAACAGTTCTGACTAAGTAGAAATCATTAAGATTATTTTTTCTTTATGCAATAAATTTTAAATAAACAGACTCTAAGATCACATACTTTTTTTGATATAAAGTAAAACTGTAGCAATATAAAATACAATAAATAAAATACTATAATGTGTTATAGATAACAAATTGATCACACCTTACTTAATTTAATAAAAATATTTAAGTAAAAAAAAAAATACTGTAGGCTAATAACAATAGATTTTTTTTGGCTAAATAGTCTCATTTTATAAATATCAAATAAACAAGAAACAGCTTAAAGTTTCCTATTAAAAATGTATTTTTTGCTAGTGTTTTGGATTGGAAGAGATAGCCTATAGACAGACATATGCAGCCCTCTAATACTTTCTATGACCAGTAAGATCATTAAATATATTTGCATCGTAAGTGATTTATGATTAGCCCATGTGTCCAGCAAAAAAATTGTAAGGTTGTAAGCAATAAATTTGAAAATTACTTATCCATAGTATTCAAACATCCATTACAGACGTAGAATCTCTTTTATCTAGAAAATACATAAAATACTAATTTGGCCTGATCTCACTTAAAATAGTATCATATGGCCTTTAACTGTAAAATAGATGTCCATCCTGCTTTGGATAATATAATATCATCTTCTTCGGGCACTTGAATATATTACATGTTAAAATTGTATTTAAAGATACAACATTTAAGACCCATCCATTCCAAATACATGAAAATGGTACTGTATCATCAAAAGTACTAACATATTTTAACCAAAAACTGTGTTAACTTGTTTTTTTTTTAATCTGATACAGTAGAGCATCGATTATCCGAATCAATTGGGACTGGGGTTGTTTGGAAAATCGATTATGTACGAAAAAATATATTAACCTAGCCCATGTTGAAATTTTTCTCCGTTGTGTGTCGCTTCGCGTTGAATTTTTATCAATGTTAAGCCTAACGCAAACTTTTTAAAATAATAATCATGACTATTGTATCGTTAAAAATTATTTCTTTATTTTTACAAACAAAAAAAATATAAAAACAATAAAAAATTATACTTCAGAAGTTAATTTAGTATCAAAAACGTAAAATATTTGAGTAGCCCAAGACATAGCCAAAGATTGCAGCGCCACAGCACTGGCAAAAATTTAAATTTGCCGACTGGAATTCTTTCGGATAATTGACACTCTACTGTACTTATAACAAAAGACAGTCTTTGCTAAATTGTACTAATTCCTTGGTGTGTTGTTAGTATCTACTGTTATCTAGTAAGGATTTCTATAGCTCAACAACACTTTTTAAAATATATATCTAAAACATTTGGAAAGGACTCAATGTCATGAAATGATTTCATGTAAACACAAAAAAAAATCAGAACACTGAATATTAGTCCAAACAAGAGTGTTCAAAGCACTGTTTACTGCATAAAACCATATTTTTGTTTATTGAAATAGTATTCAGAACTGTTCTCTAGGAAATACTATTTAGTATGTGATTTATAACCTGTATTATTTTCTACAGACTTTGGAGATAGACTATATACATAGTTCTAACAATTACAACTTCTCTCTGATTTCTTGATAATATTAACTTTTGTCAAACACAAATAAAAAAATTAAAAATGTCAGGCTAGATGTTAAAATTTCCAGTAATCTACATTTCAACAGTAAAACATGGATATAATCTAGCACCTAATTTATTTTGAGAGTAAAAGCCTATACATCATACAAATCAAAATTAGCTAATTATTATCTGCAATGATTATTTTTTAATAGTATTAATAGAATTTGAACTCTCCAGAAATTCACAAAAATTTTGCTTCAACGTGGAAAAAAAGCTATACTTAGTTACTATTCAATGAAGTGAAAATTAACAAAATATAAACTATAAAATAAATTTTGTAATATATATATATTTCACATGGAAACTAATGAGTAAAACATTTAAATAGCAAGAGGAGAAAAAAGTAATTTTTCAAATTTATTTAAAAAATGACTGACTACTTAATTTCCAATTATATTGCTTGCAGTAATCAAATATTAATTAATTTTGCATTATTTAAAAATACATGAAAATAGTCTATAGTAATAGATCTAGAACATGTTGAGAACTGTATTATATGCATTATATTATAAGTTCAAAATTTTGAATTTATCTAATTGAAATAATTTTTTTAACACTATTATTATTTCTCATCATCCCATAAAAGCAGTTTCAAAGCCACATCACTAAAGTAAAGAATGTAATGACTCACAATTCTGCTTGATACTTACCTTAAGACAGCTATTTGCTTAGAAAACTGCTGACAGGCATTAAGTCTCACTTTTGCCATTATTTGCTATTAGCTTGCAATCAATGTTATTAATGCATTAGTTATATTTCAGTTTAGCGTGTTTTTTCATTATTATTGCCAAACTGTCACATTGTTTATTGGTTGACTGTAGGTAGGTAGGCTGTCAGCTAATGGTAAATTTGATTTTCAATTTAAATTAAAATATTTCAGAAGAAAATATTGGTTCAGAGAGAGACTTTTACCTGCAACTCCTGCTTGTCATGTAGATGCATTAAATTAAAAATTAAATTTATTATTAAATGACAGACAACCTAACTACCTACCTATAGCCAAATTGCTTTATATCTAATCATCAAATTAACCATGGTACAATCTGATAATCTGGCAGTTCATTTAACATTAGTAATCAAATTAGGCTGAAGTATATGTTATTTTGATTCATAACAACTAATTAAACTTTTTAAGAATAAAACATAGGAGCAGTGACAAAATGTAAACATTAAATGACTATCAAGACTTCTCTAAACAGACATCTTTACTGGATAATTTGCAACATAAAACTACAAGTTAACAATGTACTTACATTAATATCAAAAACAAGATTTATTTGTAATTAAGATAGTGATTCTAAAGAAAACTTTTTTACAATAAACAGATAATAAATAACATTTTAATTCAAAAAAATTATGACTGCACAAAAAGTCAAAAATTAGACAAGACAGACATTTCTATTTTTGACATTTTAAAATTTAATGTTGATTTATTTATTAAAAGAACTGATACTCTTTCAGATAATTTGAACTAAGAATAATATAGTAATTATTCCTCAACTGTTAATTAAATCTATTGTTCAGTAACCAAACAGTATTAATTAAAAATATAGTTTAATAATAATTATGAAGTTCCATGCATAAATACAGTCAACCCCCTATAACACTGTTCATAATTCCGTTTTATATGAATTTCATGTTGTACAAGTCACTTAGATTTTATAAATGTGTGTGCCAGGATGTGAATGGCTCACGTATTTGTAAAATCTAAGTGACTCGTACAACATGGAATTCATATAAAACGAAATTATGAACTGTAAATGTATTAAAATACAGAGTAACTTCTAAAACATTTCATTAGAAAAGACAATTTGAAAGTTACATTAAAAAAAAAAATTCTCTAAGATGTTCAAAATTTCTCTCTTAGCAAAATACAGTAAAATCACAATAAAAATTCAATCACATTTATGAGAATGTGTACATAGGCTATACAAAAATAATAAATTTATGTAAAATGAATAACAACAAATTAAACTGCTTATAAATGTTAACCAATTATCAGATGAGTTTCATCATAAAATAAAAATTAACATACTTACATTACTTATTTCATTAAAAATTCTGATCTTCATAATTATATAATTTCATTATTTAATATCCAATTTAAAATTTCAAAAAATTACTAAAATTCAAAAATTTTCTGAATACAAAATAAGTTTTACTTCAGTAAAATTTTATAATGAATTTTAGTAATTTTACATTTATAGTTAGTAAGTAATAATAAACCATTTACTTTAATTTTTTCTTCATTTGGACCTTTCCCCGAGGCTGTACCCGAACTGCCACCTGGAATTTTACTTTTCTGGCGATATGTTTTCATAACTCCACACAAATAAGCACTTTTGTTCGAAACATGTTCTAAGCTGCTTTCTAAAAACTGATTCAGAACCACCAATGCTCCATCAACAGGAAATTCTTTCAAAGCATCCAATGCCCTTTCATCCAAATCTGAATATATAAGTTTCCCTATAAAAATAAATATTTAATTTTTCAAATATATCATTCAGATCCAGATCTTCAAATTCAGACTTAAAAATCTGTTTACAACCCTGAAAAAAGAATTTTTTCATAAATTTTTTTTGTTTAAAATCATTCTAATTAATTACTACCACATGAATTTTGTTAGGTATATTCATCTATTTCTGAAAAAAAAAATTATCACGACTGTTAATTTGTAATCAAAGGATATGGCTGAATTCTTATCAAGTTATAATGTGACTAATTAATTAAGATTAAGCTGCCATCTCCATGTTAATAATCACTAGAATAAGTTGAATTTAGAATATCTTGATAGGAAAAAACAGCTGGCCAGAAAGGGATTCTAATCCACAATTCTTGCTTACTATGCAGATGCATTACAAGTTACTCTACCCAGACCTCCATTTGATTTTCACAATTAATTAGCCATATATAGCCCAATAACAATCCAGCCTTATCACTTTATTATTAACAAATATTAGTTTGGTTTTATGTTAATGTTAAAAATAAACTTGATAGCTGAGTGAAAAACTTTTCTGAAACCAAACAATTCACCACCATTTTGATTATTGCTAATGATAATTAGTTTAAATATGCATTTAAAATATTTGCCTTATTCTAAAGAGTCCAATATATTTACCAATCAGAACTAAACAGAAAATAAATTGAATTAAGGAAGAGAACACTTAATAATTCATAAATTTGGTTTCAGCTATTAAATATCTTACATCAGTATAAAAATACATTTTTTGGAATTACTTGCAAAAATATTTTTTTGTAGTTATGTGCTACCAGAGTAAAAAACCAAAAGTTATTTGTATATACCCGGAATAAATTTTTGGAGGTAGTCATTTTCTTTCATAAAAATTTTAACAAAGGCAATATGAATGGCATATTGTTAACATGCTGGCACATAAAACAACATCATAGATTAGTTTAAAACCAGTGATGTCATTTTGATATGCCAACAACTCAAAGCAAAACAGATTGTTTTTCTGTGCCAGTTGTTATTATGTAAAGATTTCAAACAGCTTTGTTATGAAGCTTCCATTAATAATAAGAATCAGTATTAATCACTTCATTAATTTATAAATTTTATTAACTCATATTAGACTAAGCACTAAGAATATTTACTATTGTCACAGTAATAATGATTCAAGAATATCATTTTTGTGACTGATCAATAATACAGTTATTATTTATTAGTTTCTCAAACTGGTCTAACAAATATTTTTACCTGTAAATTACAAAAATAATGTATTCTTAAGCTATCTATTGAATTTGTTTACATGTACAGCAGCTGATTTTTCATTTCTTTACTTAATGTGTTTTTCATAATTCACCAGCAGGCCACAAAGGATATGTTGGGCACTATATCTTTGCCACCTGACTAGGAATTGATATCTGGACTAGATCATTCATAAATGATAAACACAAATTTTTTTATAAGTGTTTAAATATGAAATAAAATTAGCAAAGGAAAAATCAAATCTTTTTGTTCTAGTTTCTACTGAAATGATTAATAGTTTAGTAAATTAGTGTTAGTAATTCTTCGACAAGTTATGAATGAGTTAAAGTATTTCATCTGATGTCATTTGACTGAACAACCGCTAGTTCAAATTTGTTAGGTATCCTCAACAGCATCAATTGGATATTTTCCAACTTATATCATAAGGTTATTTTTTCCTTAAAAATGGAAATGATCATTTTAGTCAATGATTAGTACATCTTATTAAGGATAAAACTAGAGTTTGCTGGAAACAATTAAAAAAATAAGCATGAAAAAAATACCATTCCTCTTGTATGTGAACTTGCACCCATAAGCTATTGAATTCTGCAAGCAACCTCAGTAGGCTACATATAACTACTCCTTAGCCCAACTCTTGAATAAAAATGTCAATACATTATTTTTTGCTATGGCTAAGCAGCTTTTGGAAGGATGTGTGTTAAATATTTTAATTATAAATGACTTCTTTTAAAATCTCTTAAATAAAAGTGCTTAAATAGGCCCATAAAAAACCCTTAAATAAAAGTGTGTATTATAATTTTAATTTTTAAACCAAAATATAGTAAAAAATATTTTGAGGCATAGTATCAAAAATGTATGGCTTAAATACAGTAATATTCAAGTTAAATTGGAAATGAATCTTACATTTCATAAAATATAGTAAATTAAGTTCTAAAAAGAAATCAAAGACAGTAATGTGACTACTCTAGTTTAACAAGTTAACAGATCAACCCTTTGTTTTGAACTGAATTCACCCCCTAAAATTTGCTATAAATTTGATTTCATACTTAAAACCAGTGACTAGATCTTCAAATAGTATAATGCAACCTTTTAATACTGATTTATAATCCATATTTTGGCAGTCATCCAAAGCAATTTTTACTGAAAGTAGTACTGTCAAATTTTTCAAGTTCATTTTATGAATAACACACAGAGCAATAATCTTTATTGCCATTGAAGCATGGCTAACATGTTAACTGCCACCTTAATATGATACTTTGTCTATTTAGGGGCCTCAATTACAAAAAATTGGATATTTAAAATCTTTTAGGAATATTTTTTATTTTTTAAATAGAAGGGTGGTTATATAACAGTCAGTAGGGTAAAGTTAAAAAAAAAATGATGGCCTAAAGCAGTGTTTCTCAACGGGGGCAATATCGCCCCATGTGGGCATTTTTCCACATTCAGGGGGCGATTAGCAACAATTTATATTTTGGGGGCAAAAAACAATTTTCTGGGTGATATAGTAAAACATTATATTAAGAATAATTAGATATTTTATTTGTCATATCGTACAATAATTAAACAAATAACATTATACTAGTCACTAGTATATTCAATGCAGTACGAATTTGGTGTTAGCCTTGTCCCTTGGCATTGGAATTTTGTAGTGAAGGGGCGACGATTTGTTAGAGGTTGAGAAACACTGGTCTAGAGAGAAAGGCCCTATTTATTTTACAATCTGCTCACCTAATTACATGTTTTTTAAAGCACATTTCAAGACATTTGCAGGTTAAAGAACATGTGTGAGGCAATAAACAATAGGGAGTGTCAAATTACATACTTCCTATATTTTCTTTTGCTATATTACTTACTTTAATGAAATAAAAGAATTAAACTAGTCTTCGATATGTTGCTTCTTTTTTTCTTAACTATTTACTATTAAAAAAAAAAAAACCACTATGACAGCCAGCCATCAAACCACTTCATGACCCCCTAGGACAACAGTTCCCAACCATTTTTCATTAGTGTACCCCCTTGGCATTTCCAACTTTCCAACTAGCAAAGCATGTGCAAATCTCACACTGCCTGTTTGTAGTGTGTGTTGCCATTTTGAATTTTATTTTGACTTGGTTCTCGGTCCCCTGAGTACCAACAAGTCTGGCTTTATTTATGCGCGCATGATTTGGGCACCTAATACTTTGTGCCAAATTGCAACTTTTGACACGTACTCCTTCATACATCTAAGCTGGTAATTCAGCAGGCAGTATGATTTTATAAACAAGGCACAGTCTTGTCAATAAAAAATTAATAAAAATACTGAATAAATAATGAAAAAAATTACCGCTTTTAGAGAAAATCTAGAGAAACTAGCTATGTCCTTTTCCTTGCTAACAATAAAAAATACTTTTTATAAACAAAAGAATATTTTTTTCAAACAACACATGGGGGATATTGTTGAGAAATAATAATAATAATGGTAACACATTCCACCATCAAGAGTCTAACATAATCACTAATCACACATAATGGTATCGCCACTACCATTGACAGACTGTGCAACATTTATTGATCTGTTGCATTGTACAATCGGCAGCATAAGTTTTTATTTCTATTTTTGCATTTTGAAATATATAATAAAGTTTGTGATTGTTGCAAGGAACATTTTTTACCTAATAATTTTTAAATACTATTAATTTGTGATACATAATACAGTAGAACATCGATTATCTGACTTAATTGGCGACCCAGGTTGGTAGGATAACTGAAAAAATCGGATAACCGAAAAGAATGAAAAAATCACATTATTAGTATATCACTATTAACCAACTTCGCGTTGAATTTTCATCAATGTTAAGCCTAACAAATTATTTTTTTTAAATAATAATTGTCGCTGTTGTATTGTTAAAAATTATTTTTAAATTATTTTATTGCTCACAAAACAAACAACCACTCATAATTAGAAAATTAAGTTTCGTTTAATTACTGGCCGCCCTTCAATGGTTGAGCCAGTTTCCAGATAAAACACGCAAAAATTTAACAAAAATAATATTAAAGTAGCCAAGACATAGCCAAATATTGTAGTGCCACATCACTAGCAAACATTTGAAATTTGCCGACTAGAACGACCGGTTAACCGATATGACGGTTAATCGGGGGTCGGATAATCGATGCTCTACTGTTTATTATTTTTTTCTGCCATAATAATTATCTTTTTCTGTACCCTAACAAACTTATTGCATACCCTGGGTTGGGAATCACTGCCCTAGGACAACTGGCTGTCGGAGCCAACTTTATAGATGTTTGCAAGAGGCCACCACTATCTTATGAAGCCAGGAAAATTTAACCTTGAGTAAAAATACATTGGTTATAGCAATGTCCGGCCGTCGAATGGCTATTAATTGACTAATTAGTACAGCAGCATGTGCGTAAAGAGGCAGTTAATGTGCTAAATTTATCAATAAAAGGTAGCACTAATTTTCAGAATGTAATTATTCAGATTACATCATATAGAACAGGGGTCATCAAATTATGGCCTGCAAGGTCAGTTCATCTGCCCACTACCAAACTGTGCCACAAATGAGCTAAAATATAATTATTTGTATGGAAATAGCATAGGGCAGTGTTTTTCAACCTTTTTGAATACGCGACCCCTTTACAAGTTAAAAAATTCAGGCGACCCCCCTAGGGCCATATTAAAACTAAATCAGTGATTTAAAAAATTATTTAATTTTCTTTCTGCTCAGAAAAATTACTGTTGACTAATGTGAGAATTTAAGGAGAATCGACAATAACTTAAGACACGTATATTATGTTACTTCCTTCATATAATAACAATGGGTTCGGAGTGCTGTTGACCTTATTTTTTTTTTTTTTAAGGATGAGGGTATTTCACTTCTACTTTTCTACTTGTTATTTCTTTTTATGTGTCAGCTCAACACTTTTTCGGCAATCATTTTCTGGGGTGGGCCGTACCCACCCAGGCAACACCCATCATTCTGACCTAAATGTCAATCAAAAACCAACTGTACTGTATAATAAACAGATACAGCCTTCTCGCTGAAATTGTAGTTTTTTCAATGTAGTGTAGGACCTACAAACACTTGTCTTTTTCTTTTACCCGCGACCCCCCGTGTAAGGCTTCGCGACCCCCAGGGGGGGTCGCGACCCACAGGTTGAAAAACACTGGCATAGATTGTTGATAAGCTTACTATGTAGAAAAAATTAAAATAAGTTTAAGTAAAAATGCCAAAATTGGTCCAATCTGATTTTTGCATCTGACAGTAATATAATTTTTTAGGAAAAACCGGTAAAATAAAAAAATTCAGCAATTTTAGACATCAGAACACTTTTTGTGTAAGTATCTGCAATGAAGTTTCATATTGGTAAATAAATAAGTTGACTGTATTTTTTGTGTAGTCAGTATAATGTATTGAACAAAATGGTTATGAGGCCTGTGCTAATCATTCTGTTATCTGGTCCGCTGTCAAAAATGTTTGGTGACCCCTGATATAGAACATAGGAATTTTATGCAAAAACCTGTTAAAGTTTGTGTTTAAAAATGGCTTTTATATTCATATTAAGTAAATAAATTGTAGATAGTGACAATACATAAATCTCTACATTTAGCTTTTTGCCAAAAATTCACACTTAATATATTCTATAATTTATTCTAAATGAATTTAATATTATTTTATACAACATTATTATTATTATGAATATTTTAAATAACAAAAATTTTTTTAAATTTGAAATAATAGTTTATACCAAAATTCAAAAAATTCTGACTTAAAAAGTTTTGTTTTAATACATCTAAATTCCAGAACATTAAAAATTTGTAAAATCTGAAAAATGCATGAGATTAATTGCAATTTATAGTTGACATTATTAATAATAATTCTTACCAGTTTTGAATATTTCCTCTAATTTTCTCACAACTTTTTCACTTAATCCATATTCCAATAATTTTTGATGTTCTTCTGATGGAGGGCCACTAGAGACATCCATTGAGCCATCACCAGTTATCATCTGTTCAGGAACATCTGAAGTTGACTGATCCATTGGTTCGTCTTCATCTCTTCTGTCTTCAGCCATTTCTTGATCGCTGCTTGTCCCATTCCTGTTAGCCATGCTATTAAAAAAACATTCAAATATTAATAAAAGTCTTGTTTATGACTGACTATTATTATAAAGAAAAATTAAATTCATTAAGTTCAATTATCACTAAATAGCATCAAAGAAAATACATGATATTCATCAACCTTTAGCATTTATTTGTACCAGTACCTCCTTATTAAACAAATCACAAACAAAACCTTTTTAAACCAGTAATTGAACTTAAATGCAACTTCTGAATGTTTTCGGCCTTCATCAAGGCCTGCTTAAGGTAATGAACTAAACTGACCTCCAAATTGGACCATTAGAATGATTATGTTTGACTTGTAAATATCAAATTCATGCAGCTGATTGACTTTGTTCGAATTTCTTGAAAGGGTATTTCCACACATGCACCACCATCTCGCAGTCTTTAAAGTTAATACAGTTGCCTTTCAAGTTGGCTTTATAAATTTTGAAGGCCTCCAGGTGATGAATATGGTCTATTTGAAAAGCCTGCATAATTAATCTAGTGTTCTGGAGGTCTGGGTCAGTGGCATGCCTGTTGTTTGCAAGGTTGAAATGATATTCACATATCCTTTTGCAAATTGAACGTATGGTTGAGCTAATATAAATTAAGTCCCTTTGGAATCTATCATCCCTAAGAGGAATAGAGTATACTCCTGGGACTCTGCTTAGACCTATTTTATCTTTTGCATTGCATAACAGCTTGTAAATTGTACCAGATCTCCTGTACACGATTTCTGTACCATTCTGGTTTGCAATGTCCTTCTATGAAGAGTTCAAATGTTGACTGAACTGAACTACGGTGTGCCTGGAGCCTATGATGCATTGTTGGCTTCTGTTAGAAATAGACTGGGTGTTTGAAATGCTGCATGCAGCAAGTTGGTTGCTGTAGGCGATGGCTAAACTACGAGCCATGTTCAACCGCTATATCTTCTATACTAGGGGTGGGCAAGCAAGAGGTCAGTGGGAGCCAAAATGTAGGTTTTGCAAAATGCATGGAAGCTGCAGTTCTGTACTTTTTTATTCTGTACTGCGATTTTATTATATAATATAAATATTATANTTTAATAGCAGATATCAACATTAATCTTCTTTTTCAAAAGAAAACATATGTCGCCAAGTTTCTTGGTGTTCTTCATTCAAAAGTTCTTGGCATTCTTCTGTCGTCAGATTTGTTTCAGATTCCACTATGAGCTCTTCAATGTTCTTTATTTCTCAGATGTGATTTTTGTTACTCCTTTAGCTGCTTGAGTCTTCTTAATTATACAGTATCTTTCTTAGATAAGATTGAACTGTGGACTATAGTAGACGCTGCAGTTCTGTACTTTTTTATTCTGTACTGCGATTTTATTATATAATATAAATATTATATAAAACAAATATTGAATTTTTTTAATAAACATATTTTCACAAAATTGTGGAAATAAAATTGCAAAAATAATAATAAAAAGCAGAAATTAACAGTTTAAGCAAGAGCCGCATTTGCCCATGGTGGTTCTAAACATTGTAGCTCAAGCAATGTCGTGCTTATTGGTATGATGAGTGAAGGCCCATCTGATTAGGGCACGGAAGGCTGCAATTTTATACGAAAAGGAGTCAGACAAGTTTGCAGGGATGAATAGTGGTATGTGGCCTGGTTTGTAATAAACGCTCATTTCCATTTTGCCCCTATTGAGATGCATGTTGACATCTAAGAAAGGAGCGTTACAGTTACTAATTTGACCTAGCTTAAGGGTAAGACTGTACGAGTTGTTGAAGATGAAAAGAAAAGGGTTGGGATCCATGGGTGTCCTGCGATGGTGTTTTATAAGGAATAATCAGCAGAAAAAACAATAACGATAACAAGAATGTTACAGAGGAATACAGGTATCTTATTGGTATTTTGAGTTATTTCATGAGAATTGGAAGTAGGGAGGTTGGTTTTAGTACATGACAATGATAGTTATGGGCAGTTCACTTTCAACAGTGTTCTGCTGATCATCTCTGCACTTTAGGTAAACCATATGTAATTAATTATTTATCACTGCCATGCATGCTAACTATTTATTATGCCCCGATACCAGCATCAGGCCTTTCAACTGTTCTACTAATAATTACAATAACTGTAAATTAAATTTTAATAATTTTATTGAATACTTATTAATTTCATTCAAAATAATTAACAAAATAAAATTAAGATAACATTACTTTTTCTTTTATTTTTTGAACTGTAGAAAACTGTAGAAACCTATTTGCACTAATTAAACTGACATTCGTTTAAAATATTTAATAACTTAATCTGAGCAAGAATCAGCAAAAGCAATAGCTTAATACAAAGGCATACACATATTGTATATTGTCTCTGCTAGCATGTGTTTGCAAATCCTTGCATATGACACAGTACTTAGCCTTAACAAGGAAGTGGCTATACTGAGATACCATTTGGGAATACTGAGAAATTCACTCTTGTAATTTGATTGCAGATGCTATGAACTGTTCCAATTATGTAAAGCTAAATAAATACAATTTATCATTTTTATGTTATCACTAATTTCCTTTATCAAATGGAAATAAAATAATTTCTTAATCTTTTTAAATTGTAAATATTGCCTAAATATTCATTTTTTCTCCTTGTATTTTGTAATAACAGTTAATCTGGTTTGTTGCCTTCATCATCCAATCATATATAGTGTAACTTGAAATTTAAAAACAGTATACAACGTGAAGATTATCTATTCAAAATTATGGTAGATATTAGACACATGAAAACACTACAAAACCAGCCTGGTCAGTCACAAATATGCTATGAACTACCAAATTTTAGTAGTTTTATCCACTCTGCCACTAGTGAACTCTTTGCAAAGTGCCAATGCTTTAAATATTTACTCTAAAACATATTAAAATTTAAAAATGTATGAATTTTTTTCCTACAGTTAATTACATCTTAGTAAAAACATCAAAATATTTTACATCAAGCATTTTAATATATATTAGTATTATTTATTCATGCAAAGTATATCCACATCTTGTCTTTCTTACTTATTAGAATATGTTACCTGTTAAGTAACAAGACCTCCACCCAATCTTTGCCTACAGAACTGTTAATAATTTAGATATAAGGATACTAGTCACTTATTGCAGTTTGCTTTGACAGCTTTTACTTCCAAACTACAAATTATATAATACATTCTCAGTATTAAGCATGCTGATTTCATATAATCCAGATGGTATAATTAATACAGTGGGTGATTGGTTAAAAAACATAATCTGTCCCAAGATTTTGTTCGCTATCTGAATTGTTCGTTAACCAATTATTGATTTACCATAGGTTTTTATGGGAATTTGATTAATTCATTCTGGAGACTCACCAAAAAAACTTTCTTACTAAGTTTATTTATATGTAATAATAAAAATACATATATACATAGTCTTGCATTTTTATTAGTCATGTTTTTTCTGTTTGTGGTGGTAGTTAAAAATCTGTCTGATGTCAATTGCTTTTCTATCTTCAGAATTTTTTAGAAGCAATTAATAGCATTGTAACTGTAGATATCCCTAAGCCTATTAATCTCAACCTGGTTTGGATGTCAATTCTTAAGACTGTTGTTCTGACATCTTCCCACTTCTTCAAAAGATCTTTAATAGCAGATATAGGCATTAATCCTGTAAAGCATATGTCGCCAAGTTTCTTGGTGTTCTTCTGTCATCGGATCTGTTTCAGGTTCTATTATGAGCTCTTCAATGTTCTTTATTTCTCAGATGTGATTTTTGTTACTCCTTTAACTGCTTGAGTCTTCTTAATTATACAGTATCTTTCTTAGATAAGATTGAACTGTGGACTATAGTAGACCTGTTCAAGCCATACTGCCCAGCAATGTCAGACATCATCTGCCCACTCTCTACGTTTGCTATTATATTCTCACCTTTTGAAAATAAATACTGATGCAAAAAGTGTGTAAAGAGTAGACTGCACACCCGAGTCTTGCAAATACAGTGAAACCCCGGTTAATGAACTTAATCCGTTCCATGATTCCGTTCGTTAACTGAATTGTTCGTTAACCGAAGCAATTTTTCCCATAGAAATTAATGCAAATGCAATTAATCCGTTCTAATCTCTGAAATTTTTGTGATTTTATTTGTAATATACAGTAATTTTCTTTGATGAAAATGTGGGAAAACGTAGTATCTATCATATCTATCATTACAGCAACAAACATAAACTTTGTTTAATAAAATAGCACTGTACATACCTTCATTTGTTGTAGTTGGTGGCAGAAAAGTGGAGATATACGAACTTTAATGCTTAGAAGGGGAATCCCCTCCAAAAATAACGGGTAGCACTTAATCGAAAGATTCTTCGAGTCAAAGTCTCTTTCGGTAAAAAACCCACCAGTGGCTAAGTGGTCTCCGTACCTTGAAAATGGGGAGTTCGTTCGTGGGTTCGCACCTCGCTCAGATGGGCTGGCCACGTGGAGTTTTCCAGGTTTTCTCCACGTCTGTAATGCCTAAATAGGGGCCAGTTTCTCTTAAAAACACCTCCCAGAAGGCATTCCCACTAGACAGATCGTCCAAGTGCTGCATTGCCATAACTTAACAAACAAACAAACTCTTTCCGTAAGGAACAAGATATTGATCTAAAGTTGATTGTCTTACTCTTTTAATCAAAATTTTTCTCAAATGCAATAGCGCATTGTCATTTTCACTATGACTTTTTTCTTTCTTGGATGCCATATTGATTAAATATATAAATCACAAAACTGAAAAAAGAAGTATAGCAAAACACTCAGAAAAGCAACGCTTAACTCGCACATGCCTAACACCAACTAAAATTTCACACAAAATACCGTTAAGTTCGTTATCTGAGACAAAATTTTTGCAAAGTAAAAGTTCGTTAACCGATTTGGTTGTTAACCAGGACATTCGTTAACCGGGGTTCCACTGTACCATAAAAGAATTGTTTCTGCCAGAAAAACAAAAAACTGGAATTACAAGGGAGAGTTTCAAAGTTCGGAAAAATACTATCCAAATAGT